CAGGAATGAGATCATCAGAGGTACAGCACAGGTTGAACAACTGGGAGATAAAGTTAGAGAGACCAGACTGAGATGGTTTGGACATGTCCAGAGGAGGGACAGTGGGTATACTGGTATGTTAGAAATACAGATGTTGCAGCTGAGCTGATTACGAACAGAAAGAGTCAAAGTAGCAGGAAGTAACCGGTAGCACAAGATAACACTCTACCAAAATAAATCAGGATGTAGGTTTACTGTGGACTCCTGAGCAAACCTTCCAGGGATGATGGAGATCCTCAGGTTCAAACAGCAGAGAGCAGTAGAGAGCCTGTTTGAACAGAGAGGCGCGTGTTCCACGGCCAATTTCTGCAGATGTGCTGTATATAATAGATCTTTCTGTGTCGCTCAGTGTGGTTTGGTTCCGTCCAGTTTTCACAGCATTCATCGTTTATCCGCCTGCAGAACCTCAGATGCGCTCTGATCCTCTCTCTGGAGCGTCTTGTAGGTATTTTTAACTCCTCTCTCATGATGGATCACATTTTGCTCGCAGCACTGGCTACTTTGGTGGGTACTTACTTTAGGATGCTGGACATCAAACTTGAATGAAGGGTGTCTTTCCAGGAACAGTGGACGGTCCTTTGAGACAGAGGAGGGTCTGCGCAGGCGGGTGGGAGAATGTTGGCGTGAAGAACAAGATCAGATTGGAAGTGATCTGGGTTGTACCAGGACTGTCAGACCCACTATGGACGAGGAACGTTCACTTTGTGTATATCAGGAATAAACATAGTGCAAGACTCATTATTTGGTGTGCAATTCTGCTTGCTTTGTACCTTCTCTGCTCCAAGACCACAGTCCTGCTGGCAAAATGAATTTCGACCAAATCCTTGCATCCATTGGAGGTTTTGGGAGATACCAGAAGATCTTGTACATCTGGATCTGTTTGCCTCAGATCCTTCTCGCCTTCCACATGATGGTGAGCGTCTTCACCGGGGCCACGCCGCCCCATCAGTGCTGGGAGGGCCCCAGGTCAGGGGCCGGGAACCAGACGTGGATCCCCCGGACCCTGAACCTCAGCCTCCCTGACTCCTCCTGCTTCTCCTCGTTGAACCGGACCGAGCCGGTCCCATGTAGCCATGGATGGGTCTATAGCTCCGAGATTTTCCAGAGCACCACTGTCACTGAGGTACACCAGAGTTCAACAAACAAACAACAGTCTTTCTGTCAAATAATTAATGTATGATGAGCAATCCCATACTATATTACTGAGTGTGTTGTGAATGAGTCTCAGCTACTACCACACCAAACTTTAGCACACAATCCAAAAAACTGAAACAAGTAAAGGAAACACAAAATTGTCTAAGGTCAGTTGGCTCTAGCAGCCATCTTGGGTCGGGTGGCCCCCAAAAGTTAATCAGCTTTACATGTTCATTCAATGAACTGGTACTTCCTGAGAGTCATTAAATTCCATCCAGTGGTTGAAGTTCAAGAATCTTTATTATCCCCAAGGAGCAATTTGTGTCACAGTCAGTAGCAACACAAAACGTCCATACTACACAAGACATTGAGATGTTAAAATAACAGTAAATGAATTTGTCACTGTTCATTGAGAACCCTGATCTCTACAGGGTTGAATGGGTTTTTCAGTCTGTTCGTTCTACATCTGGGCAGCAGATACTTGCATCCAGAACCTGAACTCACCATGGAGCGGATGATCAGGATCTGCCAGAATCAGCCTGGTCTTGTCCACTGACCTCACCTTGTGTAGGTCAGTGAGGTTCTGCAGGGCTATGCCATCAGTTCTGCTGCACTCCACTTTGGAACATGTTTTACGTAATAGAAAATCTTTATTTTTAGCAAACTTGGTTTTGAAAGGTATCTTGGCAATATCACACTTCATTTATGATAATGGTGATGTATTGTCGTTCATGGAGTTTTGTTTGAAATTTAATTTTGTTTGTGACGTCAGGATTTAAAACGAGCTGATAAAAGCAAGACCAACACCTCCTAAATCTATGGTTAAAGAAGATTTGAGTCATCCCAAAACTTCCCCTGGTCTGAGTCAACTGTACATAGGAAACATAGAATTTAGAGATAAAATAATGACAAACAAGTTGATGAGGAGAGTTTTACAGAAGGAATTGTTCCCTGGTCATGATCAAGCAGCACCGTATTCTTAAGGATCTCCGAATGGATATAATTTCTAAAATTAAGACAAAATATATCTCTTTACCACTTCCTCCAAAAGTTAAGCAGGTCCATTTTAAAATTATGAACGACATCTAATGCTTTTATAAGGACTAGATTTAAGTTTGATTCTGCTGGGTGTACATTTTGTGATATTGAAGAGGAGGATTTAGATCATCTTTTCTTCCTCTGTAGGAGGATTCAGAGCAGGGGTCTGCAACCTTTGTGATAAAAAGAGCTATTTTTTCCACTTTGTTTACTAATTTCCATGTCCGGAGCCGCAAAACCTGTTACAACTGTGCACTGTCCACTGGTGGCCCGTGGACCACTACAAGCTTGGAGATGGCTTTCCTGGCCAGTGGGGGTAATTTTATAAAACAAAAAAATGTTTAACTATTATTAACATTTATTGATATTTTTACATTTTAATACAAAAGAAAAGACCATATTTTTTAAACAATTTTATAAAATTGACAGCACTGAACTCTGCGGGCCGATGTGAGTTCTCTTAATTGTTGAAGTAGTTTTCTACTTAAAGCAGAAAGTTGAAGACAGTATAAAATTAGGCCATTTTGTTGGACATCCAGTTACAATTTTAAATTAAAACTAGAGAAATTGCATTTCCCGTGAAAAATGCAGTGTAAATGCTTATTGCAGAAGAACTTGCTGGAAAACAGCTGAAATTAGCTAAAACCATGCTGAACTGTAGCTGAAATGGAAGAATAAGCCTAAATTAGCAGAAGAGGGGAGAGAACACATATTTGCTGAATTAGGTTCAAATAAACAGAAATTATCACAAAAATTAGAAAATTAGCTAAAACAAAGCTGAAATTAGCTAAATGTAGCTGAACAGTAGATGAAAAGGGTGAAAGAAGCTTAAACTACCAGAAGGAAGCGGAAAGAGCTGAAATGAGCTAACAATGTGGAATTAGCTGAAAAAGCTAAAATTAGCACAAAACAGCTAAATAGCTTAAATAGCTGAAACTTTCAGAAAGAAGCTGAAAGGAGCACAAAACAGCTGAAAGTTTCTGGGAAAAAAAAGTTTAAATTTGCACAAGGACGCTGAAAGAATGAGTTTATTTAAACTTTTTTTTTGTCTTTTATTCTTCGTGTCAAATAATATTCCCAGCCGCTTTTCTTAAAGATAATCCAAAACATTCTGGTGGTTTTGAGAGAAAGATCACGCTGTGAGACTGGAAGTTGACTTAAATTTTCTTAAATTACTAGCATGATGTAGTCACATGGTTTACACCTTGTATTCGTACTATTCTTCACATATGTGAAAATGACAGGAAGTCTGCTAAAACTAGGCATTTTCATTGTTGGCAATAATTTAAATAAAATCCAGCTTTATTTTAGTTTTGATCAAAGTCTGAAAGAGCCGCTGCAAAGGTACCAAAGAGCCACATGTGGCTTCAGAGCCGTAGATTGCAGACCCCTGATTTAGATCAT